GCAGGGAATGTGAGGGTCCCATCCCCGAGGGAGATATACCTGGTGGGACCCAGAAGAAGGGCCTTCTCTGTGGTGGCTCCCTCTCTCTGAAACATCATTCCCCCAGAGATTAGAATGGCCCCTACTCTAATACTCTTCTGGAAGGCACTGAAGACCCAGTCCTGCTAATGGGCCTGGGGAACCCAGAGAGGGATGGAGCCCATTAAATGGCTTGTGTGATCTGCTGTCACTGGGGTGGGAGTTGGGGGACGATTTTGTTATATTGTGCTATATTAATTTATTTGATTCTTTTTGTTAGTTTTTATTGTTTTTGTTAGTTTTTATTGTTTATTGAGTCACCATAGACGGCAATATAAATTCAATAAATAAGTAAATAAAATAATTTATAATCAAAAGGGGGAAAACCCCAAATCTTATTTTCATACCCATGCTCTAGATTTCTGTTCTGTCGGGCAAATACATGAGGGCAGGGGAGATAGTTAGACAGCAAAGATTAAGTGAGAAGAATTCAGTTTGACTAAAGGATCACTAGGCTAAAAAGTGATCCAATCCAATGTGTAAATGAAGAATCAAGATGTATATCTAAAGGGACAAAAAACATGGTTAATGCCCAGGTAGGGATCAATAAATCCAAATAAGCAAAATGAAGTTGAAAGTTCGAGGGCAAAACACATGTCTACCTGTCAGAAAAATTGTAGTAAATAAATTAACTTACTGTGTATGCTTTTATGTTCCTGTGAGCTAAACCGTCCCATCTTGGATTCAGCCTGGACTTATTAATATCCATGCCAGTGCCAACTCTTGGGAATGTTGCTATTCCCAAGGAGCCTTCTCTTGCAATACAACACTTCTGTATCATTTTTTGCTTTTTCTCCATCAGTGGTATTGATCTAAACTTCAGATTTAGAGATTGGGGTGTATTAGCTGAGGATCATGAAGGACAGAATCCATAGAACTGGAAGAAACACAATTTGGGTGAATTGCTATAACCTGAATCCCAAGTAAGAAAGCTTCCGGGCCTTTTTCTATGCTTTTTATTACATCTTTCTTTTCCTGGTCATGACTATTTTCTTATTCTCATGGTTTCCAAGCTGTGTGCCAGGGTGCCATAGGGCCCGCAGTACACAGTTTAGAAACTGCTAGTAGTGCCATGAGCCAAGAACATTTGGGAAGCTCCATCTTATTTTAATCTAAAGCAATTGTTCATGTATGGTTAATGGAATGCATATTTTCAGTAATAAATAGCCTGATGGAAAAAGTACAGCTCAGATCAGAAACATGGCCCAAGAGAAAGGGTAAGTAGTGGTTTCCATATATTGGGAAAGGAGGTGTTTCTCATTCGACAAAATACAATGAAAGAAAATAAAATTTCTTTCCATACAGTGTTCTAATTAAATACATGTATGACCCACAAATACAATTTGCAAATCTCTCTCTATAAAAGCGAAATACCACTCATGCATCATCACAAAATCTCTAGAACTGTAAAGCCTACAAGCTTGAAATTTGGCATGTTTGTTCCTCTTTGCTTCTAGGTGCTCACTAAGAAAGGATTTTTCAAAATGACAATCACAGGATTAGTATTTCATATATTATTATTATTAACACGCTCTGATTCTAAGGAGTTCTACTCCCCCTCCCCACCTGAAAAGAAATCTGTTCCAAATACAAAACACAAGCAGAGGATAGGAGTTTGTTTCAGTTTTAGTTTCACAGTACCGAGCAGCTTTAGTACAGAACAGTTGAGCCCAGGCTCCTTGCTGTCTCCTCCTTGCTCACACAGCAAATACTGTTTCAGTTTCCAAACAGCCCTGAATTCTCTCACACACTGACAGGATGCTAGCCAGATGAATACTGATGGACAATTTTTTCCCCTTATTTTCCTCCCCAAAAACTAAGCCCGATCATATAATTTCAGCGAAGAGCTAGTATTTCATAAACCAAAACATTTGGGGGTTTCCAGAATGGATTCTTATGTGATTGCAATTGTCCTGTTTGCCTTTAAAAAATGTTAAGCTGTTTTAACTTTTTAAAATAAACTCTCACACCACAAAGCAGCAAAATGACAGCATCCAGCATTATTTTTATTTTTAAAAATGCATTTAGAATTGCTTTTAAAAATAAGAATATTTTTTTCTTAAGAAAAATGGAGGGCTATTTGCAAACCAATGCTTTGTTTGGAAGCCTGCCTGTCTTCCCTCCCACCCAGCACAAAAATAAATTTGAAGGTAATAAGTCAATTGAGTGTTGGAAACAGAACTCATTCCTCAACTCTTTGCCTTCAAGTTAGTCATTGTTGTATTTGGTCAGCTCCATGCTGATTGCCAGGTTCTGAATGGCCAAACTACTCTATTTTGCAAGAATGGTCTGTTTATTTTCCTAAGTTCTAATGTTCCCACAAGTCCAAATGGCCAAGGGGACTTTATTTCTATTTATTCATCTCCATTGATACTTCAGGGCCAATAGTTAGCCATACAGTATGAACAGAATCCTGCAAACAGATAGAGTGTTATAGATAGGTCCTTTTCTGTTGAGGAGTGAATGGGATACATTGACTCACAAGCTTTACTGTTACATAACCTTAACCTTCTCCAATAAACTGAGAATTCTGGATGCAGGGACAGGGTTGCTAGCAATTCTTGCCTTGTTATCAAGGTTGGAGGAGGATGCAACTAAGGAGCAAAACAGGGTGTCCTTTGAAGACTTACTTATTATCCCTCCGGATTCCACCAACATCCATCTGTTATACTTTTCCTATTTCTATCCTATTGCAACTGGCGATTTTCTTAGGCATATTGTCATTTGCACTATTGGATGCACTGGTACATAGTAGAACCTGGCTATTAGCTTCTGCTATGTCTTTTTCTGATTCAAAATAGCAAATAATAGATTGTATCTAGATGACAGTATATTTTCTTTAACTCAGAAGGCCGCAGAGGTTGTCATTTTCATTCTCTGTTTTAATGCAAACTTCCTCCTAAGAATTATAATGATGCTTGGTTTCAAGGAAAGTGCTGATGTGTAGTTTATAGATAGCTCAGGAAATTTGCAGGTTTAAAAGAAGAAAGTCAGATTACCCACACAAATACTGTATACACACACACACTTCAAAAAGATGGATGTTAGAAGACAGCAACAAAGACAAGAAACTTACAGGCTTTCTGTTGGGAACTCAACAGCCCTCTAAACTATCCAAAATGGAGCCACCATCTAAATCCAGCTGCAAGATCCTTGATTTGGGGTGGTGCAATTTTCTTGCTATCTTCTAACTAGAAATGCTCTAGAACAGGGGTATCAAATTCAAGGCCCAGGGGGCTGGATCTGGCCCACGGGGTGCTTAGATCTGGCCCACAGTGCTGCCCTGGAAACAGTGAAGGACCGGCACAGAGTGCCTCTGCCAGCAAAAATTGAGCTCAGGAGGACTATGTGTGGCCGGCCCTCCTGAGCTCCGTTTTCACTGGCAGATGGTTGCAGGAGGTCATTGCAGCCAAAAATGGAGCTTGGGAGGCCATTTTCGCTGGCAGAGTGCTCGTGCCACCACAGGTGCCCCCTGACACAGTGACATCATGCTGGTCATGCCCACCCTGGCCACACACACACACACACCGTCCCCCTGCCCCGAGGTCAAAAGCAACCCTGATGTGGCCCTCAATGAAATCGAGTTTTGACACCCCTGCTCTAGAATAAGTTTAACTTGCTTATTGGAGTCTTCCGGAAATTTTTTCCCAAATTGTCCTAACGGTGTTATTACTGTGATATTCTACGTGTGAATGTGCTTCTGTGAAAAAGTAAAGCTGATTCATGGCTGAAAAAATATTGGTTGTTCTTGGTACATGGGAGACTTAGATGAGCAGACTGTGTCGTAAAAAGTTAATCTTTGCCATTCTTGACCTGGAAATCTACTGTAGTCTGTAGTGAACATTAGGATGATTATGTTACCAAGCCTTCATATCAATGGATCAGATATAAATCTGTTTCTAATGAAGAAAGTGTTTTGTCTGGAACAAAAATTCAGAGGGGAGGGAGACATGTGATAGCAAAACAGAAAATCATTATATAATGCATGGAGCAAATGAGTCAGAGAGCCCAGGCCAATTTAACCATAATTTGGATTTAAGGATGATTTGTTTATAAAAATTCTAGAGAGAATTTCTTCTTTGTTGGGAGAAAATATTTAACATTAGTTAGAAAGTCTGTTTACCCATTTCTGTCCAACCTCTGTATGGCAGTAGTGGTGTTGTACAACTTAGGGAAATAAGTTAGTGAGAGCAATACACAGTTACAATTTAAGGTACAGATTTTTAAAATTCAAATAGCAGCTACTTGTAGAGGAGTTGATAACTGTCAAGAGAATTACAAGTGGGTATGTCAGTGGGGGCGGTTTATCTTTCTCAGTTGTACTATTATCCTAATGGAAACCATTCCCTATTGGGGCACAAACTGAGTTTTTTCAATGCAAATAGCCTCAACTTTTTGGTGAGTGCCATTTAAAAATCATGCGTTAAGGATGCAAATGAATTTAATATCACATTCATCATGGAGGAGACATAAATATATTGACTTAAAATGTGATTTATCCATCATTAAATGAATTGAAATGGTCTTCTGCATGCAGTATGAAACATTATCTTACATATGCTGGCGCAGGTTTTTATTGGTATATTTAGTATTTTCGATTGTATTTTAACTGTTTAAAATACAAATAAAAGCTGCAGTTGCAATTCTTCATATGGATAAAAGGATAACACTTGACTAAATAGGGGTTAACTATTAAGGAATGTCTCCCATGGTTACTTTAATAAAAGCCCTTTAAGTGGTCAATTTAGAAGCCTGCATTTTCCATCAGCTTGTTCTTTAAACATTGCTATCTCCCAGCAATTTTATTCCCCGTTCTGATACTTATGCTATTGCTTTTACATCTGCTGCACCCATGTGCACATTAGCTGGCCTCTTGGGCCTTTTATTAACTATAATTTTTGCTTCAAATCCTTGTCTTGCAGTTTTGGTTGAAGACGGTATCCAGGGAACCCATTTCTCTCTTTGGGAGATGCCTGCTGGTTGTTGCTAAGGTTGCTTCCACAGTAACATGTGCATCTTGTTTACACCCTCATCGGAAGAAGTTGAACTTGGCTAATTCCACTAGTATCACCTAGGAAGCAAGAGAAGGAAGTGCTGGATCTGCAGTCTTACAATCTTGCATGAGACCCTTTTTCCTCCTCGAGGAGTTGTGTCTAACCCCCTACCAAACACTGGACTGCATTTCATGTGGAGCTCCAAAAGTTTCATTGCCTGCTCTTGGTAGAGGAAAGAGATCTAGAGGTAAAAAGGAACACACAATTTTTTCTGGCCTGTTTCCTCACTGAACCTACTCCCTTGTTGTCAAGATGACAAATAACTCTGCGGATCATCATCCTGGGAACTCTGTGGCAGAAGGCAGCTATGAAGGGGACTTTGGCTGCTCCGTTATGGACTTACGGAATCTTATGGAGCTTCGCAGTTCGGAAGCTGTGACCCGAATAAATGACACCTATGGGGGAGTGCATAATATTTGCAAGAGATTGAAGACTTCACCAGTCGAAGGTAAGGAGGCATTACCTTGGTGGGAAAACAAGCATTTCCATGGATTCTAACAACTTGGTTGCATCTCTCTCCTCCCTCCCCCTCCCCCATGCAAGAATTTGTCATAAAGTTACCTTTATATTGTTTTCAAATGGTTGATAAACAAAGACTACCTGTGACTATGAAGAAATGTTGAATGAGCAGGGAGCAACCATAGGCCAGAATAGCTTTTTTGGGGGTGGGGGGGTAATTTCTATTTTTCTAAAAATGAACAGGAAATTCTAGCACTTTTATACTCCATAGTTAAGATTCCTCTCTTTGGTTGTTGTTATTATTATTATTGGCCAAACACTAATGCTAGGTGAAAAAAATCCAAAACTATAAAAGTTTGTTGGGAAACATTTTTAAGTGTAAGTCATCTTTTGATTCTGGGTTTTAATGTGGTGTCTTTACTGCTTTAAATTATTTATAGTGTTTATGGGAAGAAAAAACAGAGGAAATAGGATGAATAAATTTTTAAAAAGCTGGGTAAAGTAGTGATTAATTTTTTGGTCGCTATCTAATCCAACAGAGATTAGAAGAAGAATACGTATTTCCTTCATGAATAAGTCACCACGTATTAAAACACTGAATTACAGGGTACATATAGCCTTCCAAGGCAAACTGTAGGTGCTTCTATATGTAAAATTTCCCAACTGTCCCTGTTCTACTTTAGACACAGAGCAGGAAGTTTGTAAATAAGAACTTCATTGTACCTAAGCCTTCCTTCAAAGAAACCCCGTCTGTGGGCATTTCTGGGACATAAAAATGTAATAAATGTTTTTGCCTCTTAAATATGTTATGGTAGAGATTGGTATATTTACTTTAGTTATGCTAATTTTTATCTTCTAAAGATTCCTAATGTGAAACTACTTCCATTGATAGTATAGAAAATCAAGCTGAAATTATTGATTTGAATAGCAATTCATTTCCTGGAAGAGTAAGCATGCTTCAAAAATGGAAGTATAAAGTAGTTCAGACACAGAAATTATAACTTTTTAAAGGAATTTTCTGAATATTTATATTGTGGTTATGTATGTATGTGTGTGTGTGTTTAAGTATATGTGTCTAATTTTCATTAAATTGTAAAGCAACTTGTGAAAAACAATGGCTGCTTTTGATAACAGTGTCTTTCTGTACAGCTTTAAAACTAGTTGTAGACCGAAATCAGTAATAAATAGCATGAAGGTCCTGTCAATTCTATAGCCATTTAATTGTGAATTTTTTGTATAATATCTTAACAATAACAACCTAGAGAGATGTCTCTCCTCAGTGACCTAAGCTACACATAAATAGAAATAAATTACACATAACCTAGAAGGGGTACGAAACCTTATCATTCCTTTCCTCTTTCCAGATCTGTAATCTTGTTTGTAGTTTTCTTTTCAGCCTAGTAAATGAGGAGAGGCACTTTTAACAAGTATGTGATACATTGAAATCTCATTTTAATGGACTAATTGGGGGATAGTGTGTCTGACTTCAGAAAGTCTATTGCAGGCATGTACATAGCACAAATATGATGACACAGATGCAGATTGTATCATTTATGACATTTGCATCAATGTGTCATTTGCATTGAACTGAAGCCGAACAAGTTGTATGTAAAAACTGGAAATAGCCACACTATTTAGAGAATCCACAGATTACAGGTGTAATTAAGATAAAGCCTGGTGGAAAGGACCAGCTAGTATTCAAACTGTTCAAAATAAGATTTTTGATTGTTTCTCACTAAATTAGAATTTATTGGATGGAAAAGTTTGGTCTGCCTCTGTTTTTATGGATTGTTAACCCATTCAGAAATTTTTAGCATTACTTGGTAAAAAGAAAAAAAGTCTAATTGCAATTGACCTATGTTTTAAGGGGGGGGGGGGGAATGAAACGAATGAATGAAAATTTGTCCTTCAGTTAGAATGAGAGGTTATTCCTCGTAGAGAAGGCATTAGTACTATAAAGAAAATGGGCCAAATCCAGCCATATAAGGGACAGCCAGTGTGGAATGGCAGCTGCTTTAGGAACGGTAAGACACCAACTTCTGCCCTTTTCTCTGTGTGCACTTTGAAAACTTGCAGGTTATTATTAGCTCTCTTGTTTTGTAGTGTAAGCAGCAGATTAGCATATTTCACAGCTGCAATTGGGAACAGGAAGTGGCAAGGGAAAGACAATCCTAAAGTGTAATTAGAGGAGGGCTGTCCTGGTGGAAATGCCAAATCTGGATCACTGAAGCGTATGTTTCCTGTGCCAAGTGATGAACATATACATCTGGGGGTAGACCACTGGTTGGGCTATGGTCCAGCCTGGGTGCCTCATCAAGTCTGACTCATCCTTATTTTCTTCTCCATTCTGCTTTCAGAGATACCCCCATTTCACCTTCAGATCCATATGGCACGACCATCCATATGGCATGACCATAACAAGTGCATGAAATTGAGTTCATATCACTCCAAAATATTTTTAAAAATCTGGATTGTTTAATTGCCTTTCAGGCTCAGTGCATGATATTCATGTATTTAAGCTTTTCAAATGGTTTTAGAGTGGTTTTATGATGAACAAACTCAAGTATTTATGAGATCATCCCCTCTACCCAACAAAATCACACTCATTGACTGAGTGTCTCCTGCATCCTTTCCAGATAGTGGAGTGTTTCCTTTCTGGAAATGATTCACCCTCATTTTTGGTCTGCACCATCCAAAGGAGTTAAGATACATATTTTCAATTTGGCCTTTTAAAAGTTAGTAAATCTGAAATTTTCCCTTAACAGTAATATAATAATTTAATATGGTTTTATTATTTATGTCTTTTAGTGTTTATGGTATACCCACAGGAGTGATATTTGTCAAAAAGCTGTAAACAAATAGTAAATAAGTAGTAATTTAGTATTGCAACTAATAGTGCCTTTATTAAAGTAGTAATTATTACATAATTTATATAAAAGTATAGGTTTAGCATGTTAGCAGTGTAAATGTGCTACTTCTTGAATGAGAAGATACTGATTGTGGAGAAAATGGATTGATAGTTAAAACAGATCTCCCCTCTCCTCAAAGTTTTTTTTCCTCTTAAAAGAACAATAAAAACAAAATATCCAAATTGATTAAAAGTTGATTCACTGCAGAAATTTGTTTTCAATATCTGAATAATGACTGGAAGGAGCCAAAGTTCATCTGACTTATTTCTGTCCTTATAGATAGTTCTTCTCCATTATTATACCTACATATTTATGGTCACGGCAAAAAAAATTACATTTGCCTGTACGTGCAGCTTTTCAGATTTCTTTGCATCTCGGATGGGCTAAGATTAGTTAAAGTACTAAATGGGCCTTAAGTCAGTTGTGGGCAACTTGTAATCACAAGGCTATAACAGCTTTTGTTTTCATTTTATATAGTTCTTTGACAATTTCAGAAGTCCTTTAAAAGAGAGTCAGTCTTCAGGCAAGTCTTTTCTCTAACAGTCTGCTGTTTGGAAGAAAATAAAAGCAGAAAAGGGTAAAAAAAAAAAGAGGGGGGAGAAGAAGCACAAGAAAAGGAAAAAAATGTTGCCTCCACTCATTTTTGCTCTCTGCTCAAGTACTGTTTGTTTTCATCTGCCATTGGCGTATAATATAGTCTCCAGCAGGTTATTCCTGCAGAATGCAATCCTTGACCTTTAAGTTGAAAAGCAACTGACCCTTGACTTTTGGAGAAGCCAGAATCCCAAGATAACTTGCTTTTTATTTTTATTTTATTTTTTCATTTGATTTTTCTAAGGCAACCATCCAGGCATTTTAGAAGTAGAGATAAAAGATAATGTGTTTAGTCATCATTCCTTTGTTGTTTTTTCAAAAAGCCATCCAATTCCCAGCTTTCAGTGTTTTGGTTTATGAAAGAAATCATACCTATAATTTACTTGAGTGTGTGCAGCTTAATTTGTATTATTGTTGGCATTCTTAGCAGAAAGTGAATGCTACTGCTGTAGGTTTTTATGTACTGAATGCTCTAAAAAAAGCAGCTAGCACGGGGAATTAATGATCTTTCTAAACTTGGTATCTTATTTAAAAATATTTTAAATGATTCTGCTAATTCTTGCACTTAAAGGCCATCATTAGTATACCAATATCACAGGAAGTGGTGGTGTGGCTAAGAAAGAGTGTTATGCCTACATGCACCACACTTTGTTATTATTATCGTATATGCATTTACCTGGGGAAAGAAGGAAACCGTAATAGATTAGAGCACTCTAGATGCTTCTTAACACTCATAATCCCTAACCAAGTATGGTTTAGCATTATGGAGCTTATAGTCCAGCAATATTTCAAATAACACTTCAATATTTGCAGTGTAGTCCAGTGTACTCTGGTGCACTGGGGTTTATGGTTTGTGAAGTTTGGTTGGTGGAACAGCCATTTACCACTTCTCACAGCTGTTCCTCTTCCCTGACATGTACTTCATCTCCAGTGCTGTGAATAAGCACTAAATCAGCCGTGGGGACATTGCTGTCTGGATAGAGCTCTCCAGATTAGCTATCTTGTATACCAAATGGGAGACTTGGATGATGCTCAGATGAATTGTATGGGAAGCCCAGAAACTTTCCTGTGAGTAATGAGGAAATTATTGAGTGCATTTTGCTGATTCAAGCTGTCTGCTGAGACTTTCTGTCTTCCACTATTAAAATATAAGAGTTCTCTGTGGACAATTTACAATGCTGAATCCCAGCCAAGCAGTCTCTATTGCCAGGAATGTGAGTGCCCAATTCTTACCTGTTCCAGATTTTTTTTTCTTGCCTTCCTCTACTTAACATTAAACCCACTATAACCTTAAACAGAAGCAAAGCTTTCAGACTCTTAATTTGCCAAATTCCTGAGGCTGGCTTTTTTATGCCTCACAGTTCTCCAAAGGGAAGGACATAGGGAAGCTGAAATGTTTAGGCGATCATCTCTTGAAGTTTACATATACAGTAAATGATTGAATAAATGCTTTTGCTTGTCCAATGCTGTTTTCAAGAGAGAGGTG